TAATGAAAAAAAATCAACATTTTAGGAATTTCTCCATAAATTTCGACCAAATCCCTCCAAATTCTCCCCAAAACCTGATTTTTCCCAGAATTTTCCAATTTTTTTTTCCTGAATTCCTCATTTTTTTCTACCAGATTCTCCCCGAATTTCCTTGAAATCCCCTCGTTTTTCCCAAGTTTTCACTTTTATTCCCCAATTTTTTCCTCCAGATGTTTCCTAGAACCCCCAAATTTTCCCAGAATTCCCCAATTTTTTCCCTCAAAATTTTTCCCAGAATTCCTCAATTTTTTCCCAAAAATTCCCTGATTTTTTCCTCAAATTTTTCCCAGAATTCCTCAATTTTTCCCCCAAAATTCCCCAATTTTTCCCTCAAATTTTTCCCAGAATTCCCCATTTTTTCCTCAAATTTTTCCCAGAATTCCTCAATTTTTTCCCCAAAATTCCCCAATTTTTTCCTCAAATTCTCCCAGAATTCCTCAAATTTTTCCCCAAAATTCCCCATTTTTTCCTCCAAATTTTTCCCAGAATTCCTCAATTTTTTCCCCAAAATTCCCCAATTTTTTCCTCAAATTCTCCCAGAATTCCCCATTTTTCCCTCAAATTTTCCCAGAATTCCTCAATTTTTTCCCCAGAATTCCCCATTTTTTCCCTCAAAATTTTTCAAAGAATTCCTCAAATTTTTCCCCAAAATTCCCCAATTTTTCCCTCAAATTTTTCCCAGAATTCCCCATTTTTTCCTCAAAATTTTTCCCAGAATTCCTCAATTTTTTCCCCAAAATTCCCCATTTTTTCCCTCAAAATTTTTCCCAGAATTCCCCATTTTTTCCCTCAAATTTTTCCCAGAATTCCTCAATTTTTTCCCCAAAATTCCCCAATTTTTTCCTCAAATTTTTCCCAGAATTCCCTATTTTTTCCTCAAAATTTTTCCCAGAATTCCTCAATTTTTTCCCCAAAATTCCCCAATTGTTTCCTCAAATTTTCTCAGAATTCTCTGACTTTTCCCTTAAATTTCCCCAAAATTCCTCCAAAATGCCCCAATTTTTTCCTTAGATTTCCCCAGAATCCCCCATTTTTCCTAGGATTCCCCATTTTTCCCCAGAATTCCCCAATTTTTTCCTCAAATCTTCCCAGAATTCCCCAATTTTTACCCCAAATAATTTCCCCAAAAATTCTCAAATTTTCCCCAAAATTTCCCCCAAAATTCCCAAATTTGTTCCTTAAATTTTCCCAGAATTCCCCAATTTTTACCCCAAATAATTTCCAAAAAAATTCCCCAATTTTCCCCCAAATTTTGCCAAAAATTCCCCAATTTTTCCCCAATTTTCCCCCCGAAATCCCCATTTCCCCCCAGAATTCCCCATTTTCTCCCAGAATCCCCGATTTTCTCCCACAATCCCCAGTTTTTTCCTAGAATTCCCCATTTTCCCCCAGAATTCCCCAAATTTCTCCCCCAAATTCCCCAATTTTTTCCTCATTTTTTTCCAGAATTCCCCAATTTTTCCCTCATTTTTTCCCAGAATTCCCCATTTCCCCCCAGAATTCCCCATTTTCTCCCAGAATACCCCATTTTTTGCCACAATCCTCCATTCCCCCGAATTTCCTCATTTTTTTCCCAGAATTCCCCAATTTTTTCCTCATTTTTTCCCTGAATTCCTCATTTTCCCCCAGAATCCCCCATTTTCCCCAGAATTCCCCAATTTTCTCCCCCAAATATCCCTATTTTTTCCTCAAATTTTCCCATAATTCCCCAATTTTTTCCTCAATTTTTCCCAGAATTCCCCAATTTTTTCCTCATTTCCCCCCAGAATTCCCCATTTTCCCCCCAGAATTCCCTCATTTCCCCCCAGAATTCCCTCATTTCCCCCCAGAATTCCCAATTTTCTCCCAGAATCCCCCATTTTTTCCCAGAATTCCCAATTTTCTCCCAGAATCCCCCATTTTTTCCCAGAATTCCCCAATTTTTTTCCTCATTTTCCCCCAGAATCCCCCATTTTCCCCCAGAATTCCCCAATTTTCTCCCCCAAATTTCCCTATTTTTTCCTCAAATTTTCCCAGAATTCCCCAAATTTTACCATGAATAATTTCCCCAAAAATTCCCAAGTTTTTTCCTTAAGTTTTCCCAGAATTCTCCAATTTTTACCCCAAAAAATTCCCCAAAAATTCCCAAATTTTTCCCCAAAAATTCCCAAATTGTTCCTTAAATTTTCCCAGAATTCTCCAAATTTTACTCCAAATAATTTCCCCCAAAATTCCCCAATTTTTCCCCCAAATTTTGCCAAAAATTCCCCAATTTTTCCCCAAATTTCCCCAAAAGTTCCCGAATTTCTTCCCTTAAATTTTCCCAGAATTCCCCAATTTTTTTCCCAAATTTTTCCCAGAATTCCCCATTTTTACCCTCAAATTTTTCCCAGAATTCCTCAATTTTTTCCCCAAAATTCCCCATTTTTCCCTCAAAATTTTTCCCAGAATTCCCCATTTTTTCCTCAATTTTTCCCATAATTCCCCATTTCCCCCCCAGAATCCCCCATTTTCCCCCAGAATTCCCCAAGTTTCTCCCCCAAATTTCCCAATTTTTTCCTCATTTTTTCCCAGAATCCCCCATTTTCTCCCAGAATTCCCCATTTTTTTCCTCATTTTTCCCCAGAATTCCTCAATTTTCTCCCAGAATCCCCCATTTTTTCCCAGAATTCCCCAATTTTTTCCCCATTTTCTCCCAGAATTCCCCATTTTTTCCCAGAGTTTTCCATTTTCCCCCAGAATCCCCCATTTCCCCCCAGAATTCCCCAATTTTTTCCCTCATTTTTTCCCAGAATTCCCCAATTTTTTCCCCATTTCCCCCCAGAATTCCCCATTTTCCCCCATTTTTTTCCATTTTTTCCCAGAATTCCCCATTTTTTCCCAGAATTTTCCATTTTCCCCCAGAATTCCCCATTTTCTCCCAGAATCCCCCATTTTTCCCCAGAATCCCCCATTTTCCCCCAGAATACCCCAATTTTCTCCCCCAAATTTCCCCATTTTTTCCTCAAATTTTCCCAGAATTTCCCAATTTTTTCCCATTTTCCCCCAGAATTCCCCATTTTCTCCCAGAATTCCCCATTTTTTCCCAGAATTCCACATTTTTTCCTCATTTTTTCCCAGAATTCCTCAATTTTCTCCCAGAATCCCCCATTTTTTCCCAGAATTCCCCAATTTTTTCCCCATTTTTTCCCAGAATTCCCCATTTTCCCCCCAGAATTCCCTCATTTTCCCCCAGAATTCCCCATTTTCTCCCAGAGTTCCCCATTTTTTCCCAGAATTCCCCAATTTTTTCCTCAATTTTTCCCAGAATTCCCCATTTCCCCCGAGAATTCCCCATTTTCTCCCAGAATCCCCCATTTTTTTCCACAATCCTCCATTCCCACCGAATTTCCTCATTTTTTCCCAGAATTCCCCAATTTTTCCCTCATTGTTTCCCAGAATCCCCCATTTTCCACCAGAATTCCCTCATATTCCCCAAAAATTCCCCATTTTCCCCCCAGAATTCTACATTTTCTCCCAGAATTCCCCATTTTTTCCCAGAATTCCCCATTTTCTCCCAGAATTCCCCAATTTTTCCCATTTTTTCCCAGAATTCCCCAATTTTTTCCTCATTTTCCCCCAGAATTCCCCATTTTCTCCCAGAATCCCCGTTTTTTCCCAGAATTCCCCATTTCCCCCCAGAATTCCCCATTTTCCCCCAGAATTCCCCATTTTTTCCCAGAATTCCCTATTTTCTCCCAGAATCCCCCATTTTTTCCCATTTTTTCCCAGAATTCCCCATTTTCTCCCAGAATCCCCCATTTTTTCCCAGAATTCCCCAATTTTTTCCTCATTTTCCCCCAGAATTCCCCATTTTCTCCCAGAATTCCCCATTTTTTCCCAGAATTCCCCAATTTTTTCCTCATTTTTTCCCAGAATCCCCCATTTTTTCCCAGAATTTTCCATTTTCCCCCAGAATTCCCCATTTTTTCCCAGAATTCCCCATTTTCTCCCAGAATCCCCCATTTTTTCCCAGAATTCCCCAATTTTTCCCTCATTTTCCCCCAAAATTCCCCATTTTTTCCCAGAATTCCCCATTTTCTCCCAGATTCCCCCATTTTTTCCCAGAATTCTTCAATTTTTCCCTCATTTTCCCCCAAAATTCCCCATTTTTTCCCAGAATTCCCCATTTTCTCCCAGAATCCCCCATTTTTTCCCAGAATTCCCCAATTTTTTCCTCATTTTCCCCCAGAATCCCCCATTTTCTCCCAGAATCCCCCATTTTTTCCCAGAATTCCCCAATTTTTTCCTCATTTTCTCCCAGAATCCCCCATTTTCCCCCAGAATTCCCCATTTTCCCCCAGAATTCCCCAGAATTCCCACCTCTGGCTCCAGGAACAGGTGGCACCAGGCGGGTTTTCCGTCCCTTCCGGCTCTCCCGATTTCCTGCACGTAGCTCTCCAGATTCCCGGGAATGTTGTAATGAACAATTCCCCGGATATCGGATTTATCCAACCCCATCCCGAAGGAAATGGTGGCACAAAGCACCCGGATCCGGTTTTCCATGAAATCCCGTTGGATTTTCCGCCGTTCCCGGGGCGCCAGCCCGGCGTGGTACGCGGCCGAAACCCAAAATTCCTCATTTTTCCCTAAGCAAAACACAAAATTTTTTGTGAATTTTCCCCAAATTCCCTCATTTTTCCTCACATTTTCCCAGAATTCCCTGATTTTTCCCATTTATTCCTCGAATTCCCAAAATTTTTGCCCAAATTTTCTAAAAATTTTACGTTTTTCCCACAAATCCTTCCAGAATTCCTTGGTTTTTCCCAAATTATTCCCATTTTATCCCAAATCCTCCATTTCCCTCCAATCCACTCCCAGATTTCCCCCCCAAATTCCCATTTTTCTCTGAGATTTTTTCCTTTTCCCCCCAAATTTCCTCCAAATCTCCCCATTTTTACCCCAAATCCCAGAAATTTCCTTTTCATTCCCAATTTTTCCCAAAATTTCCTTGAAATCCCCCATTTTCCTTCAATTTTCCCAAAATTCCCCCATTTTTACCCCAAATTCCCTCCAAATCCCAAAAATTTTCCTTCCATTTCCCCATTTTCTCCCCCAAATTTTCCCATTTTACTCCTCAAATTCCCCATTTCCCCAAATTTCCTCCCAGATTTTTCCCAAATTTCCTCCCAAATCCCAGAAATTCCCTCCAAATCTCCCCATTTTTACCCCAAATTCCCTCCAAATCCCCCAAATTTTCCTTCCATTTCCCCATTTTTACCCCAAATTTTTCCCATTTTACTCCTCAATTTCCCATATTTCTCCCAGATTTTTCCCTTTTCCCCCCAAATTTCCTCCAAATCCCAAAAGTTTCCTCCAAATTTCCCCATTTTTACCCCAAATCCCAGAAATCCCCTTTCATTCCCAATTTTCCCCCAAATTCCCTCAAAATCCCCAAAATATTCCTTCCATTCCCCCATTTTTACCCCAAATTTTTCCCATTTTATGCCTCAAAATCCCCAAATTTCTCCCAGATTTTTCCCTTTTCCCCCAAATTTGTTCCAAATCTCCCCATTTTTACCCCAAATTCCCTCCAAATCCCCAAAATTTTCCTTCCATTTCCCCATTTTCCCCCCAAATTTTTCCCATTTTACTCCTCAAATTCCCAAATTTCTCCCAGATTTTTCCCTTTTCCCCCCAAATTTGTTCCAAATCCCAAAAGTTTTCTCCAAATTTCCCCATTTTTAACCCAAATCCCAGAAATTCCCATTCATTCCCAATTTTCCCCCAAATTCCTTGAAATTCCCAAAATTTTCCTTCAATTTTCCCAAAATTCCCCCATTTTTACCCCAAATTTTTCCCATTTTATGCCTCAAAATCCCCAATTCCCTCCCAGATTTTCCCCTTTTCCCCCCAAATTCCCTCCAAATCTCCCCATTTTTACCCCAAATCCCAGAAATCCCCTTTAATTCCCAATTTCCCCCCAAATTCCCTCCAAATTTCCCCATTTTTACCCCAAATTCCCTCCAAATCCCCAAAATTTTCCTTCCATTTCCCCGTTTTTCCCCCAAATTTTCCCATTTTACTCCTCAAAATCCCCAATTTCCTCCCAGATTTTTCCCTTTTCCCTCCAAATCTCCCCATTTTTACCCCAAATCCCAGAAATCCCTTTTCATTCCAAATTTTCCCCCAAATTCCTTGAAATTCCCAAAATTTTCCTTCAATTTTCCCAAAATTCCCCCATTTTTACCCCAAATTTTCCCATTTTACTCCTCAAATTCCCAAATTTCTTCCAGATTTTTCCCTTTTCCCCCAAAATTTGTTCCAAATCTCCCCATTTTTACCCCAAATTCCCTCCAAATCCCCAAAATTTTCCTTCCATCTCCCCATTTTCCCCCCCAAATTTTCCCATTTTACTCCTCAAATTCCCAAATTTCTCCCAGATTTTTCCCTTTTCCCCCAAATTCCCTCCAAATCTCCCCATTTTTACCCCAAATCCCAGAAATTTCCTTTAATTCCCAATTTTCCCCCCAAATTTCCTTGAAATCCCCCATTTTCCTTCAATTTTCCCAAAATTCCCCCATTTTTACCCCAAATTTTCCCATTTTACTCCTCAAATTCCCAAATTTCTTCCAGATTTTTCCCTTTTCCCCCAAAATTTGTTCCAAATCTCCCCATTTTTACCCCAAATTCCCTCCAAATCCCCAAAATTTTCCTTCCATCTCCCCATTTTCCCCCCCAAATTTTCCCATTTTACTCCTCAAATTCCCAAATTTCACCCAGATTTTTCCCTTTTCCCCCCAAATTTCCTCCAAATCTCCCCATTTTTACCCCAAATCCCAGAAATCCCCTTTCATTCCCATTTTTGCCCCAAATTCCCTTGAAATCCCCCCATTTTTACCCCAAATTCCCTCCAAATCCCCAAAATTTTCCTTCCATCTCCCCATTTTCCCCCCAAATTTTCCCATTTTGCTCCTCAAATTCCCCATTTCCCCAAATTTCCTCCCAGATTTTTCCCAAATTTCCTCCCAAATCCCAGAAATCCCCTTTAATTCCCATTTTTACCCCAAATCCCCTCCAAATCTCCCCATTTTTACCCCAAATTCCCTCCAAATCCCCCCATTTTCCTTCCATTCCCCCCCAAATTTTCCCATTTCTCTCCTCAATTTCCCCCATTCCCATCCCAGAATTTCACCCCAATCCCAACCCAGATTTTTCCCACCTTTCCTCTGTTTTTTCCCGTTGTTTTCCGGGCGTTGAGGGCTCGGAATTCCCGGGAATTCCCGGCGGATCAGCGCCGCCAGCCGCTCGCTCTCCTCCCGGCGCGTGCAGTAAACGATGGCCGAGCCCAAATTCCGCCCTCGGAGCAGCCGCAGCAGAGCCTGAGAACGGGAAAATCCGGAATTTTTATCTCGTGGAAATGGGGGAAAAAATGGGGAATTGGGGTGAAAAAAATTGGGATTTTTTTTTGCATAAAAATGGGGGGTTGTGCCAAAAAATTGGGATTTTTTTCATATAAAAATGGGATTTTTACGGAAAAAAATGGGGAATTTGTGCCAAAAAATTGGGATTTTTTTAATATAAAAATGGGGGATTTGTCCCAAAAAATCAGGATTTTTTCATATAAAAATGGGGGGTTTGTACCAAAAAATTCAATTTTTTTTCCCATAAAAATGGGGAATTGGTCCTAAAAAAATTAGGATTTTTCATATAAAACTGGAGAAATTGTCCCAAAAAATCAGGGTTTTGTTCCCATAAAAATGGGGGATTTGTCCCAAAAAATTGGGATTTTTTTCATATAAAAATGGGGGATTTGTGCCAAAAAATCAGGATTTTTTTCGTATAAAAATGGGGAATGTGTCCCAAAAAATTGGGATTTTTTTCATATAAAAATGGGGGGTTTGTGTCAAAAAATTCAATTTTTTTTCCCATAAAAATGGGGAATTGGTCCTAAAAAAATTAGGATTTTTCATATAAAACTGGAGAAATTGTCCCAAAAAATCAGGGTTTTGTTCCCATAAAAATGGGGGATTTGTCCCAAAAAATTGGGAATTTTTTCATATAAAAATGGGGTATTTGTCCCAGAAAATCAGGATTTTTTTTGTATGAAAATGGGGGATTTGTGCAAAAAAATTCAAATTTTTTTTCCCATAAAAATGGGGAATTTGTGCCAAAAAATTGGGATTTTTTTCATATAAAAATGGGGGGTTTGTGTCAAAAAATTCAATTTTTTTTCCCATAAAAATGGGGAATTGGTCCTAAAAAATTGGGATTTTTTTCCCATAAAAATGGGGGATTTGTGCCAAAAAATGTGGATTTTTTTCGTATAAAAATGGGGAATTTGTCCCAAAAAATCAGGATTTTTCTCATATAAAAATAGGGAATTGGTCCTAAATATTGGGATTTTTTTTTTCATAAAAATGGGGAATTGGTCCCAAAAAATTGGGATTTTTTTCCCATAAAAATGGGGAATTTGTCCCAAAAAATTGGGATTTTTTTAATATAAAAATGGGGGATTTGTACCAAAAAATTGGGATTTTTTTCATATAAAAATGGGGAATTGGTCCTAAAAAAATTAGGATTTTTCATATAAAACTGGAGAAATTGTCCCAAAAAATCAGGGTTTTTTTCCCATAAAAATGGGGGATTTGTCCCAAAAAATTGGGAATTTTTTCATATAAAAATGGGGTATTTGTCCCAGAAAATCAGGATTTTTTTTGTATGAAAATGGGGGATTTGTACCAAAAAATTCAATTTTTTTTCCCATAAAAATGGGGAATTGGTCCTAAAAAATTGGGATTTTTTTCCCATAAAAATGGGGGGTTTGTGCCAAAAAATCAGGATTTTTTTTGTATAAAAATGGGGGATTTATGCCAAAAACTTGGGATTTTTTTCATATAAAAATGGGGAATTCGAGCCAAAAAAATTGGGATTTTTTTCCCATAAAAATGGGGGGTTTGTACCAAAAAATTCAATTTTTTTTCCCATAAAAATGGGGAATTGGTCCTAAAAAATTGGGGTTTTTTTTCCCATAAAAATGGGATTTTTAGGGAAAAAATGGGGGATTTGTGCCAAAAAATTCAATTTTTTTTCCCATAAAAATGGGGAATTTGTGCCAAAAAAATCAGGATTTTTTTCCCATAAAAATGGGGGATTGGTCCTAAAAAATCGGGATTTTTTTTCCCATAAAAATGGGGAATTTGTGCCAAAAAATTGGGAATTTTTTCATATAAAAATGGGGAATTCGAGCCAAAAAATTGGGATTTTTTTCATATAAAAATGGGGAATTTGTCCCAAAAAATTGGGATTTTTCTCATATAAAAATGGGGAATTGTTCCTAAAAAATTGGGATTTTTTTTCCATAAAAATGGGAATTTTAGGGAAAAAATGGGGAATTTGTGCCTAAAAATTGGGAATTTTTTCATATAAAAATGGGGAATTTGCCCCAAAATATCTGGATTTTTTTCCCATAAAAATGGGGGATTTGTCCCAAAAAATTGGGATTTTTTTCCCATAAAAATGGGGGATTTGTGCCAAAAAATTCAATTTTTTTCCCATAAAAATGGGGAATTGGTCCTAAAAAATTGGGATTTTTTTCATATAATAATGGGGAATTTGTCCCAAAAAATTCAATTTTTTTTATATAAAAATGGGGAATTTGTCCCAAAAAATTCAATTTTTTTTCCATAAAAATGGGGGATTTGTGCCAAAAAATTCAATTTTTTTTCCATAAAAATGGGGGATTTGTGCCAAAAAATCAGGATTTTTTTCCCATAAAAATGGGGAATGTGTCCCAAAAAATGTGGATTTTTTTTGTATAAAAATGGGGAATTGCTCAAAAAAAATTGGGATTTTTTTCATATAAAAATGGGGGATTTGTCCCAAAAAATTCAATTTTTTTTTCCCATAAAAATGGGGGAATTCGAGCCAAAAAATTCAATTTTTTTTTCCCATAAAAATGGGATTTTTAGGGAAAAAATGGGGAATTAGACCCAAAAAATTGGGAATTTTTCATATAAAAATGGGGAATTTGTCCCAAAAAATCAGGATTTTTCTCACATAAAAATGGGGAATTGGTCCCAAAAAATTGGGATTTTTCTTATATAAAAATGGGGAATTTGTCCCAAAAAATCAGGATTTTTTTCCCCATAAAAATGGAGGATTTGTGCCAAAAAATTCAATTTTTTTTCCCATAAAAATGGGGAATTTCTCCCAAAAAATTGGGATTTTTTTCATATAAAAATGGGGGATTTGTGCCAAAAAATTCAATTTTTTTTGTATAAAAATGGGGGATTTGTGCAAAAAAATTCAATTTATTTTCCCATAAAAATGGGGAATTTGTCCCAAAAAATTGGGATTTTTTTTCCATAAAAATGGGTGATTTGTGCCAAAAAATTCAATTTTTTTTTTTTCATAAAAATGGGATTTTTAGGGAAAAAATGGGGAATTTGAGCCAAAAAATCAAGGTTTTTTCTCATATAAAAATGGGGAATTTGTCCCAAAATATTGGGATTTTATTTCCCATAATAATGGGGGATTTGTCTTAAAAATTGGGAATTTTTTCATATAAAACTGGAGAATTTGTCCCAAAAAATCAAGATTTTTTTCATATAAAAATGGGGAATTGGTCCTAAAAAATTGGGGTTTTTTTCCCCATAAAAATGGGATTTTAGGGAAAAAATGGGGAATTTGGGCCAAAAAATTGGGATTTTTTTTCCCATAAAAATGGGGAATTTCTCCCAAAAATGAAGCTTTTTTTTTCCAATGAAAATGGGGGATTTGTACCAAAAATTTGGGAT